ATAAAAAGTAATATTTGATATTAAAATTAATTTATTAAACATGAGTAATAAGTATATGGTATAATAGTATTGATATTAGTATAATTAGAAAAAATCGATTTGAATCGTTATTTGATATTAATCACTACTAATCAGATTTTTTTTTAACTGGTATATATCGATATATATCGATTACTAACTAACTCGATAGTCATCGTCAGGGGTATTTATATCAATTACTATCTAATAACCGATTAATATTAATAGTAATCCCCTTGCAAATTTTGGTGATGAAGTTCTATTACAGCTACAGAAAATTCTGGAGTTGGAAATAATGAAATAAACCTATTTACATTGGATGAATTAGCTCTTGAGAGGGCAAAATTATTAATAAATGATAAAGACAGTAATTATGACGATGATATTGAGTGGGGAGATATAGATTATGAATCTTTCGAAATAATATTAGTTGTAACAAGATCAACAGAAGGTTCAAATTACCTTCTCAATAATTGTGAATATTAACACCATGTGTTCTTTTGCACATAGTTGATGGCCAGGTACAACGATATTCTAATTATAGACAAAAATCTCAAAGACCTCTAGCACAACTAGTTGGTAGTTGGGAAATTGATAGTGAAGCATTTGAATCTGTAAAAAATAATAATAAATTATTAGTCCATTGAAAAGAAGGATCTGCATCTCATTGAATTCACAGGAATAAATTTCTGAAAAAATATTACAAAATTGCAATTTAGAGTCCCTAGATTTGTTTTAACATATTCATTTAAACCCAAATACATAAAAATACGTTGATAACTGAAATGTTTAGTGTCAAAGCCAAAGATTATCTATTCATGTTTCAAGTGTTAAATTTACTTGAATTGAATTTTGAAAATCAATTCTTTCGCAAGATCGATTTAATTGAACAAATCGAAAAGTAAATATTAATGAGTTTATTTTTCCAATAGAATACACTTAAATTTATTGTTACAATATTTATACACAAGAAAGAAAGCTATTTACTAAAATAACAAAATCATTAGAAGAATACCACATATTCAAATTGAAAATTACATATTTCTTTCAGATTTCTACCTGAATAATTTTATTAAAATTTTTTTTTTAAGTAATAATATATATTACCGGTATATTAAAAATTCTTCTTAATAATTCTTTCACTTAAATTTAATTATTAACTAATCACACGTAATTCACGTAATTCATGAATGAAATTAAAAGTTCCTGTGACTTAAAGTCACGCAAACGCATCCAATATCTCTTTAGAGGTTGAGGATTGCGAACATAGGAGTCGTTCTAATTTGTGTCTTGGAGGCAATTTTTTTTTAACTTAGCGTAAAAAATTCTTTGAGTTATTTTTTATTTAATAATGAAGATCACGTGAATATAAATAAAGTACTCATTTTATTTCGGGTCAAGTCCAAATAAAATCCCGGAACCGGTCGGTTCAGAAAAATCATAGACCAATACCCGAACCGTGGCTGGTATCGCGTCGGTTCTGGATTCCGGCTCGGGACTGCGGAACACTTGTGCTATAATTTTGAATTTTGCCTGAATTAAGTTTAATTCTTGCCAAAATTCGAAATAACGCTCCTGCGTGTTTTTTTTTCACAAAAATAAATTACATTATACCCTCTGAGGCTATGTGGATTTGATGACAGAATTCAAATTTGCTAGCTATTCAATGATACTATTCGAATGAATTTTTTTTTATTCTGTAGAGATTAGGGCTGTCTCTTCTGTTTAACTGTAATTTATATTCATGTACAAATTAGAAAAAAATTATTATATTTATGAGCTTAAATTCTAAAATATTATATAAATAATACCTTTTGGCATTATCACTCTTTTATTTCAGTAATCTTTGATTCCAGATACATGCTAAAAAATACGGTTTACCCGTAAAGTCCCAAATATAAGCAACCCCTAAGCTACCCATTTTAGCCAAATTTTTTCAGAGGGCTACTTAAATTCGGGACTTTAAAATATTCAATTTTATTGGTCAATATATTTTATATATAAATAACCAATAAAGTTTATAATAAATTTTATATATGTTTAGCAGGAGTTGCTTATTTTATTTTCTTAGTATTTTGATCTCAAAATGTGGGGGTTGCTTATTTTCGGGGTTGCTTATATTCGGGACTTTACGGTAATTCTTATTTACAGTATTTATAAATGGCATTTTCAAGTTAAAATTCCATAAATTCAATTAATTAATTTAAATTTACATTTTAACCAATTTTTTTATAATCTTCTTTAAATTCAAAATTTGCAAGTTTTATTGATATGTTGTTGATTGTTTTTTAATAATGTATCATAATGTTTATTTGTTAAGTAATATTTAAGAAATATGCATAGTATAAAATAAACTAAAAAATACAGTATTTCTGACATATTATTAATTATCAAAAATTTTTTTACTTCTAATCTCAGACTCAAACATGCATAAAAACTTTTCAAAAGTGTTAACATATAATAAAGTCAATGTTTCTTCTTGAGCATTTTCATATATAGACAATTCAAATTGGTCACTAGCAATCATATTTTTAACAGTGTTTACTATACTTCCAGAAAAATTAATTGCCAAATCTGAATTCAGATCCAGATAAGAATCATAAAACATTCTATAATCAGTCCTAAGCTCGTAAGGAAATGGAATCCAAGAGGCTGCAGAAACTGTTTCAACAATTAATTTTGTACATGGAGTGAAAATGTAAAATGCTGGTGGTAAAATCGATCTTTCTTTTATAAATAGATTTTCTTCATCGTCTGACATGCAAAGTTTGGAAGTGAGAGGAGGTAAAAAACTTTTTTTCATTAGAGTGCAATATTTGGCTACCAACATTTTCAAGTATTGATATTCTTCTAAAAAGAGAATTAACTCTGTACAGAAACATGCTACAGCACAAGCTATAAAAAAAGAAACTAGTTCTATTGATATTGTTTGTTAATAAAGATTAATAAAGATATATAATAATGATTTTATTACCTTTATAAAGTTTAAACAAATCAGGATGGGCCAAAACCTCTTCAAATTGCTTATATCTCTTTGAACGCGAAATCCTTTTATCATGAAATGGAATATCAAAATAATATTTATATGATTTCCAAACAGGTATCGTAATTGATAAAATGTGACTCAATATAGGAGTAATCCACAGAAACATAAAATTTCTAAAATAAAGTCTAAGACCAGATGCAGAATATTCCCAGATGAAAAACATAATAAAGGAAAAAGAACCAACAATTAAAGTGACTATCAACTCATTTCTAAGACTATAAGCATCTCTTATATTATATAAAAGATAAATAAGGATAGGGCAAATGATAAAAAGAAAAAGAGAGAGAATAATGAAAATGGGAATATATCTAATAACATATTAATATAAGAAAAATACATATTGGTTGATTTTTGGAATTAGGGCCTTTTTTTGATCTGCAAATCATAATATAAATTTTAAAAAAGGTCACAAAAATTCTAAAAATTACCCTATTTTAAAATATCAAAACATAAAAACAAATAATAAATCTTATATGTTTGCGTTAAAACCCATGAGCTAATTACAAAACCCATGAGCACTAAAAGTAATATTTTGTAATTAATATAAATTATTCTTTATTAATAAGGTTAAATTTTTTTTATATTTATTATAAAAAAAAAATTAATAATAGTTATTATATTTTTAGGATAATAATATGTTTCGGTGTTTAATTTGTTGTAAAGAATTTAAAACAAAACGAGGTTTAAAAAAACATAATACTATAGTACAAAGGTACAGCAAACTACGATCTGATCTTGATTTACTACCTTATACAACAATGAATGAATACAAACAAATTTTGATTTATTGGATTCGCAAATATTTACCAAAATACTATAAAAAATCTGGCAAGCAAACTTTTTCATTAGCATGTACAGAAAGTCAATTTTTTACAATTTTTGCTGGATATATTCACTACTATTCATCATGAACTAGAATATATAGGTGTATTTTTCAAGGATCAAATGAATATCAAACAATATCAGATCTTCTTAATGATAATTCATGGTGGCAAAAAAACTATGATCAACAACAACAAACATTTGTATTTCTTGGCTATAATCATGAACAAGAAGGAAATCCATTACTACATGCACTGCAAAAAAAAAATAATCAAGTTAAAAAAAAAACTCAAAAGCCTAAAGTAAATCGTAGTGAATTAGTAATTGAATGGAAGCAAAAAAAAGAAAAAGATACAAGTGGAATTGAACATTTGGCAGGAACTATTTCATTTTATTTTTTTGTTTGTCAAGTGCAATTTTCTTAAATAAATTTTACACCAATAAAATCTCTAAAGATTAAAATTATATAAGTAATTAATCATGTCGCTTAGCTGTAAATTATATAATCTAGTAACTATATAGTTAACCTGCCCGAATAATTTGTATATTTTTCCGAGATCTATTATAGAGCATAATTGAGAATTTAAAATAATGATAGCCAGGTAAAAGCAAATATATGTAAACCAATTTCCTACTATTCATTTTTTCATTTCTTAGCATAGGAATTAAACCAGAGTTTTCCATCTAAGTAACTAAAGTTAGAATTGCAAAAATACAGAATATTTAATATAATATCGTTTATTACCTCAATAATGGTTTTAAGATGTTTAGAAATAAGTTCTTCTTCTACAATACTTCTAATTTTCGGTTCTGTAGTTTGTGAAAGGTAATGGCGTACACGTTATTCTTCTTCATTAAGACATTTTTCAACCTAAATAAATGTAAAAGTGGCAAATTAATGATGACAGTTTTGTAAAATATAAGCCGATAATAATCGTAATGTACTTTTTTTATATATTCTGGTGCATCATATTCTCCTACGAGCATTTGACCCTCAACTCGATAATATTCAGCACTAGTCTCCAAAAATTGTCATTCAAAATCAGTTGTATAAACTGAATCTTTTGCACTTGTATCAGTTAACTCAAGCAGTATATCTATCGATGCTTTAATATTAGAACGATCAATGATCTTGTTTTTACGTTCAAGAAGGATTTGATTCAAAAGAACGTCTAAAAGTTGATTCTGAATGGGATATATTGTGAATCGAACTATGGTATCTCTAAAGAGCTCTAATCCCAGTTCATAGACTAAAAAAACATTCGCTAATTTGGCATATACACAATTCTCTGAGCATAATGCATTTAATAGACATAATAAATGATTAGAAAGTAATTCACTTGAATGTTTAATAGCTACATTGTTATAAACGATCATCAAACTAAATGCCGTAAATATTCACAAAATTGAATACTATATTATTTAGCAAGAATAAATAAGAGTCATTGTAATAAATATTTATGAAATTAAATAGCTTATATTTTTATACTTACCAACAAAGTCATGGCAAATAAAATCAGAGTATCGCATAGTACTAAATATTTGTAAATTTGAAATGCTTATTTTAAATAAATCAATTCATTAAAATTCTTATCAATACATACAATTAAATGAAATAATAAATATTCATAAACTTAAAATAGCTTTAAATGCATTGATTAACGAATGATTTTTTACTTACCACTAATAAAATAAAATCAAAGAGGTATTCTTCAATAATTGAACCTTATCGTAGAATGAATAAATAAATTAGGTTCGGGTTTATATCATTTTACCAACAATCACCACATTTCATCGACACTTGTTTCATCTACAAGCTTATTTTACAAACGATTAATTTACATACAAGTTCATTTCGTAGACAGTATATTTCGCCGACAGCTAATTTTACAGACAAGTTTTTTTTTATAAATTGCACTAAACTTAATTTTAATTTTAAACCTAACCCTAATGATGATGATTAGAATTGCGATATCTGTGAAATGAGCATCGTCAATCAAAACGTAGCTTAGTGAGATTGATCATTTTCTGAAAATTGTTACACTAAATAATAAAAAAATTATAATTTTTTACACTTTGTGTAACAATTTTTGGAAAATAATCAATCTCACTAAGCTATGTTTTGATTGACGACGCCCTAAATAAACTGTTGGTGAAATACACTATCTACGAAATAAATTTGTCTGTAAATTTGTTGGTAAAATGTGGCGTCTTTGAAATGATTGTCGGTGAGTTAATCAGAACTGTTAGAATTGATAGAAATGTTATATTATTAATAAATTGCCTTAACTTATTTAAAACATGTGTTCATGAGCCAGGTAATACCTTGATCGCAACTATAAATGATAGCATATGTATTCTCTAAATCGGCCTGGAACTATTCCTTAACCATCTAACTATGTTGCTGAAAACATTGGCCCAGATCTTCATCAATCTTTTGAATATTATTGATGTCTACTCTGATTATGTTTTCATAAGTTATGAAATTTCTAGCATTGTTTTGAGGGTCATATGCTTGACACCAAGAAATAGATATATTATATCGGCTGCAAGTTGCACATCTTCAGAATCCCTTTTAAAATCAGATCTGGTATATTCGTTTATTAGAGTGCCTTGAATTAGTTCATATACTTTAGATTCATTACCCTTAAACTTGCAAATAAATGAATGTTTTTAAATAAAACAAAATTGTATACAATAAATAATAAAGCAAATTTTAACTTACCTTGCTCAGAACTATATAATATTTAATCCTTACTATACATGATTGTTTACATGACTGTATATTTTCCAATTCAACCCAGAGATCATGTGCTTTCTAACCAGGTCACTGATTACATCTTCTAAGAGTCATATCAGGCAATAGATGTGTTATATCGACTGAAATTTGTGCATCTTCTGAGTTTTTTTTAAATTAAAAACTAATATATCTAGTGTCTTGAACTTAAACCTGTAAATAAATAAATAAATAAGTTTTTAAATAAAACAAAGTTGT